AATGTATTCATTAGTTTTCTCATATTTAATAATTACAAGGAAAATATTCTTTAAATTAAAAGCATGCTTTTAAATAGGCTTATAAAAGATTAGATTTGAAAATACAAATTGTTGGATATACTTCATATGTCTTGGTGAAGAGTGATGGAATAAATAATATCTACTGCTACTGTTGTTTTTACCAAACTGCCATACTTTCTTGTAAAATTCGAATCTGACCAAAGTGATTACACTTAAATCAATGATTACATTTAAATCACTGAGTCATTTCACTTAGCATAACACACCTGTATCAATATTTTCTTAATGTATACAATCGCGAGTTTCTCCAACATATTTCCCAGCCAGTTCCATTGTGCCCGCATTGTACCATTTTTTCGGTATTTTGCCTTCTGTGATATATCCATCGGGTATCATAATACTTATTTTCCTTTGACACGGCTAAAATAATAAGTGGAAATAAAATATTTGGATAAATGGCGTATTTTGAATATAATTTCTAGATTTAATTTTTGAATAAAATAATTTTATTAAAAGATAAAAAAATGATTCGTCACTAACTTATGGGTTTTTATTTCATATTTTGCAAGCTCTTGTAAGGTAATTACCTTAATTCCATCATTGCAGTCATGATAAATGTTAATTTTTGGATCAATTGGCGACATTTCATGAATGTAACCAGAAAGCTCAAAGTTTCCCTTCGAATCGGTTCTCGTTTCACCCATGAAATCATCCATGTCAAGTCCTGAAATATCTTTTATGTCTTTTTTTTTTCCTTTTTATATCCATGATAGATCAATTTTATAACTTGCAACATTTCATATCTAAACTTATATCTATATCGATTGATCCCTCCAATCAATTGATCGAGTATCATCGAATAACAAAGTTTATCAAACATAATTTATAAAATGAAGATTTTTGATAGTATATTTTAGAAATGATTTTATCAAATAGTGCTTTCAATTCATTCTAGCATTTTCTGAAGTATTTAATAGACTATGTTTTGTTAATAATTTTAAATGATAATCCAAGTGAATTGAATTTTTCTTTTTTCTTTAACTTTATAAAATGGTTGCACTAACCTCTATCATCATCATATAATTTGATAAGTACTCGAGAAGCAGGTAATCCGTTACAGGTTAATGTACCTTTAACACCAACACTTTGCAATCGTCCTACCAAACCACCAAATGCACAAAATACGACAATTGGAAAACCAGTTATTAATAATAATAATAAACGGAACATCTGAAATTTTTTTTTTTTAACTTTTTCTTTTGGAATGTCAAAATGTAACTCATTGAAGCAATGTGTCATCAAATTGAAAAATATATTTTATCCAAAATATTTTTGAAATGAATAAATGCAAAAGTATACAAAGAAACAAAGAAAAAAAATAGTAAATTAATTGATATTAACTATTAACAAATACTTTGTATAATATGTAAAAAAGAATCAAAGTAAAATAGTAATTTTATTTTCCTTTTCTTTTTTTCTATTGAAATGAACAAAGTTGAAATTTAGAAGAGAAAAGAATGAGAAAAAAAGTCATGGAAAAAAAAAAGAACTCTAAACATAAGTGAAAAATAAACAAGCATATAAACAACAAATATATCATTCTGCTAGTATTTAAAATATTTTCATAATTAATTAATAGTTGTTTTTATTGAAATTATTAATAAATGGTAAAACAATAATAAAACATTCATTTCAATATGTTAATTTTAAACAAATATTAAATGTAACAAATAATAGTAGAAATAGGCCTTAAGATGATAAACATTTGAAAATATCAGAAATTAGGGGAAACAGTTGGAGTTAGTTAATGATAGAGAAGGATGGTTACTGCTCAAACAATTTGATGAGTGAATGTTTCGAGCATTTCAAATTCTGAATCATACGATAACAGTTGTTCCATATAGGATGTCACAATTAATTATGGTACCCTCCTATCTATTGCCTAACAAATATGATGTAAAATGAAATCATCAACTCTGATGATAAATGCAAACTTGTTCCTTTTTTATTATCACTCATTATTATTACTATTATTATTTTATTATTTACAATTAAAACTATTTCATGCTGGTGTTGAATAATAAATAATTAAAGATAATAAATAGTTGATGATAACAATAACAGTAATAGTAATAATAATGATAATAATAATAATAATAATAGTAATAGTAATAATAATAATAATAATAGTAACAGTAATAGTAATAATAATAGTAATAATAATAATAATAATAATAATAATAATAATAATAATAATAATAATAATAATAATAATAATAATAATAATAATAATAATAATAATAATAATAATAATAATAAT